CCTCCATCTTTTGTTGCGTGTGATAAAGCAGTGGTGCTCTGTGTAGAATCCACACATGGCAGGACTTGATTTTTGCTGGTTTTGTGTTACTCGTAGTGAAAAACGCAAATGCTTGGCTGTTGTCTTGGCAGCAGGATGGCTTCCACAGTGCTCAGACAACCCCGGCACCCGGTGCTGCAGCAGCTGCAGGAGAAGCCTGGACTGCAGCAGCAAATCTGGATCAGCTTCCAGTGCTGGCTTCCCACCCAGCCACACTCCCTGTCGGGCACAGTCCCTGCTCTGGGGACACCTCAGGCACATGTGGGGTGTGGGAGGATGTTTCCCACCCGTCTTGGAGCCAGTGCGGCCGCGGTGGGTCCGTACCTCTGTGACCAGGCGGCGTACGCTCGCGCCGTCCAGGCCGTACTCCAGCTCGAAGCGGCTGCGCAGCGCTGCGACGTGGCTGCGGCCGGGACCCCCGCGTGCGATGAGACAGTCTGAGGATGAGGAAGGAGACAGGGAACCACTGCTGTTGCTGGAGGCTGGAGACATTAACTAGATTTAAAAAAAAAAAAAAAAGGCGGGGGGGAGAACTGTTATTACATATTTACAAGACTTTCCTCAGCTCTTTCTCATAAGTTGTGTGTCCCACACTTCCTTTATAATTTGGCTGAAAAGCCTATAATTTGGGGAAACCTCTCCACCTGCATCCTTCATTGGATGCAGCATGTAACTGAAGAAAGATCTTGTTCCTTAAAACTCCACTCAAACGAGGCTTTGCCCCACATGCAGAGGAGCTCAGGTCTAACCTCCCAGCTAGAAAACGCTTTCTTTTTTTCTTTTTGTATGTGAGCTCTTGCCCCAGATTCCTTCCTGCATGCACTGCTGCCTATGTATCACAGAAGTCAGGTCAGTGACGACACAGTTCCTTTTGATATAGTGCTTCACTTTTTTTACACTTAAAAGCTTCCACCTCCGCACAGAGCAGCCAGCTGCAGTCGGAGCATGAAGAAAGGTAATTGATTACGAGTGTCTTTTCTGACCCTTAAGCTCAAGAGCAGCGATCCATTTCAAAAGGAGGCTGCTTTTTTTGTATTTTAAAAAACTCTTACATGCATGCGCACACACACGCACACACACAGAGAAAATACAATTTCAGGAACTGCAGCCCTGAATCATTTACTTTCTCTTTGACCACTTATCTTACACCAGGCTGAAGGCTGATACATCCATCTCTGTCACGGCCACAGTCCAAAGCAGGAACTGCCTTTCCATTTATCCCTCTTATGTTTTCTCTTTTTACCTTTCTCCCAAGGGCCAGTTTGCCTTTCTTTTTCTTTTTTTTTCAAATCAAGCCATCTTGAGCAGGATAAACAGGACTAAAATATCCTGCCCAGGACTACTCCACCTGAAGCCTGACCATGCGGCACATGCAGAGATGCTCCTGCAGTGGGAACAAGGTCCTTACCTCGATATTGCACAGACATTCCTCTAATTTGGTGACTACTTCTGAAAACTCCGGCCTCCCCTGCAGATACAATAGAAAGAGCAGAGCTATGTTAAAAATAGAAGAGAGCATAAATGTCTGTGATCAAACTGACTCATAGATAGGTGGTGAATCACAGCTCCCCTCCACCACCCCCATGGCCTTGCTCTTGGTCTGCCTGGGAACACAACGGCACCTGGAAATTCAGTATGAAATTAGTATGAAACCAAGAGCTGTGTGAATAACAACTTTAATTGCATTATTCTTCTCTTTTTCTGTAACAATTAGGTTTGAGCTAATAATGACTGGATCATAATGTTACAAAAGCACTGACAACAAATTCTGTGCCCTGTTCATGTGTTGGGTATGACTCCTCTTTGCCTGTAGACACAACTTGGGACGAGGCAGCAGCTGTGAGGGGCCGTGGATGAGCTCTGGACCAGCTTGCCCATCCTCCCCCTGCTCTGCACTCGGATACCTGCGGGCACCATCCCCACCAGCCGCTCCGCACCCCTTCCCAGCCCTTCCCCGGGCACGTGCCTCCAGCCCTGCGTGCTTCATGGGGCGCAGGAGTTTGTGGAGGCCACGCTGGGGACAGGGTGAGGCAACCGAGGTGATGACAAACATACCTCCTGCCTCCTAGTGCTGCTCAGCCCCTGCTTGGGCCGATGGCTCAGCCTGCCCAGGGCAGGTCAGGCTGGGCGGCAGCTCGGCAGGCGCTGGTGCTGGGCAGAGGGGCCAGGGAATACCTGAATGAAGTAACTGTCGAGGAGCTCCTCCTTCCCATCACCTCAGCAAAACTTCCTGCAAGAGGTAGGGATAATTTAAGAGCTTTAGGGCAAAGTCCTGCAGCCTTCACATCTGTGAGCGGGAGCAGAGGGATAATAAACACAAACAGGACTTCAGGTTTTAGCCCGTTGTGACAAAGTACAGTAACAAGGAGAGTGTTAAATGCTTTCCTTTCTCAAATGGATAAGAAGGAAAATGACCAGTCCGTTTTAAGTTCCATAGAATTGTCCCTGTCTGTGCAGGAAAGGGAGGGAACGAGGTGTTTGCTGGTGTCCAGAGCAGTGGCCTGGCTGAGGCATGGAGTCGGGCAGGGAGATGGTCCACATCCTTCTCCTGCCTCTGGCCACCAGATCTCTGCTCCCCTGCGTGACCCAAGAGGAGCCGCAGTGGCTGGGCTGCAGGCAGGTGGGTACAGACCTTGGCCGGCTTCTCCTGACCTCCCCACCAGCCCTCCCACCAGGGTGACAAGCTGTGCCAGAGACAGGGTTTCTCCAGGGGCATTTGACCATCCCTTGAGTGCTTCCTCCCTCAGACAAGTCTTCAGAGCTCCTGCTCTTCCAACTGCTTCAGTTGTCCTCCCACACAATGCCAACCACCGCACTGAGATACTCCATGTGAAAAAACACCCTGGAAAGACCCTGTCCCCACAAGACCAGGCTCCAGTGAGCACTGCTGGCAGTGGCTTACTCCTGGGAAAGTGCTGGGGAAAACTATCCCAGCAAAAACTTCCCTCTGAACAGCGATTAGTCCTCAGAGTCAGCTCTTCTTCAGCTGGGTGGAGGCTGGTGGGACAAAGGGAGATCCTGGCGATGACTGGGCAGAAACTTGACTGAGGTGATTTCTACGGTTCCTTTCCTAAAGGATTCTGTGACAAATCAGTATATGACCATATTAGAGTATCCCTGAGCTTTAGCCTACAAAGTGTTCAAGAAATACTGACTTACTGCGTGTGATAATCTCTGTCACCTCCAGTGGAGCTTGACTGGAGCCCATGGAAGAACTGACTGTAACTTTGGAGTTGTACTTAATAAAACTAAAACAATGTGTATTTTCTTTACAGAGCTAAGCCCCAGCTACCATGGCAAATACTTTGACTCCACTTAAAGCATATAGATTAAAATAGCTAATGAAAACTGCTGCCTAAGAGACACTGTCTAATTTTCTAGCCATCAGTTTGCCCTTCAAAACAACTACTGTCAAAAGTTTCTGCGAAACAGATGTTTGAGTACCTGATAAGTAGTAGCAGTGACATAACGCATGGGAACTAGTTTTTAGTTGCAATGAATCTCAAATGAAATTAAAGCCAAATAAAAGGACAAATTTTCAAATTTGGAGGCATTTCATAGACATCCAGCAAAATCCATACAGATATACTCTATTTTCTGCCTTTTTTTTTTTGTAAAATAAGCAAACCTCTTGGCACATTATGACCTATGAACACTCATTGAGCCCCCAAATCTACTATTTTTCCCTAACAAATAACTTGTCTTTTAAATAAATGTGTTTGTTTATGCATCTATAGCCTGATGCTGTAAAACAGATACGGATATAGTGATTATTTTCATCCTTTAGATATTTTGATCATTCTGCTTGTCAAGGTGTTCCATTCATGGCACCCAGCCCCTCCTCTCAAGTGAGGGACTCACTGAGAATGGTAGCAAAACACCTTAAGAGAGCTCATTTTAATAAGTTTTTGCCTGCACTTTGTGCAAAGTTCAAGGCATCCACTGGCTGATTGAGCTATCAATTGCCTTGTAATTGTATCATACAGCTCTAAAATATTAGCAAGATTAAGGCATGTTGGAGTGATACTGATGAGTAACAAAGTGCGCTGGGATTCTGGAAAGATGGCTTCTTTTTGTTGGGGTTAAATGAGCTGTGGAAATGCTAATAAGATACAGTGACTGTACCCATTACATAGTGCTTGCTTAAGTCAACAATTTCATATGACATCTTATTAATAAATTTGAAAAGAATGCAAGTTACATGCTGATGACTATTAGCAGTTACTTTGTAGTTACATGGAAAATAAACCCTCCCCACCCTAACATTCGTTAATAAAGTGAGAAGATGAGAGCATGTACAAGTCCAGGAAACACTAATAACAACAAATAAACTGGCAACGCAACAAACCGGCCATGCCCTGCTCTGCAAATATCTTTTATCCCCAGTTCTCACACGGATATGTTATGTACATGACCAGTAAGGGGCAGAGCTCACTGGGGTCAATCAATTGCCCAAAATCACACAAAATTCCCTCTTCTCTGTCGTGGCACTTGAGTTTTAGCTCTCTAAACCAGGTAAGAAAAGCCAAGTATCCAGGACCAGGAGGTTTAGGCACATGATGACCTGTCTTTCTGAGCTAGGCTAACCAGATAAGGGGCTCCAGGGCACAATTCCAGCTTCTGCAGGAAATTCAAGTCAGCGCATCTGGGTCAGCAACATGAAACAAAACCTCCTGTAACACCAGAAAATTACACAGGTTCCAAAATCTGCTCTTGTTTATAAAAAATGAAACCTGCACGTTGTTAAATGAAGACCTCCAATGCCAGCGTAGCACCAGACAACCAACATCCAACCAAAGTTTCCAAACCCCACAATATGTTTCCTAAAGCAGCTAACCCACCTTGCAGAACGTTTTCCAAGCAAACTGAATTTCAGTCTCTTGAGTATATTTCTTGACTTTTCAGACAGTTTAGAGTCTTGAGCAAAACCAATCGTGCAACTGCTGCTGCGGCGCGTGTGCCAGGGTGGCATTGTCGAGCCCCTGGGGTCCCCTGCCCGGCTGACAGAGGTGTGGGCAGGAGCTGCCCATCCCCATGGTTCTCTGTGTCAGAAATGCTCCATGGAGGCAACATTCATCTGGCTGCTCTCTGTTGCCCATCATCAAGGAACACTGTCAGACCCAGAAGTAATGAACAAACCCACCTTTCTTATGCTCTGCAAGTGCCGGAACAGAAACACTGCCAGTAAGACTGCCCCAAGTCACCTGAGCCAGCCCAGGTGCCCACACAGGCCAACCTGTGCATCCTCCCGTGCAGAGACACAGACCCTGTGTCATCCACCCAGTCAGGAGACACAGCTGGGACAGAGCACCAGGAAAGGGCTGGCTTATCAGCACTGCTTTGGAAGACTTGATCCTCTATAAGGACAGAGATAGAAAGAGTAGTTAGGGAAGGGTCACTGGTGTCCCTCTGCCACGGAGGCTCTCGGGCACCGTTAATTCCTGTGGTGGTCCTGGAGGCCACCAGTTTGAGGATGATGGTGTTCTTGCGGTCTTGCTTTAGTTCGTGTTCCCTTTAGTTCAGAAGTAGCAACAGACTGCAGGAGCCAACTTAAAGGCATCTTTCTTTGACCACCATTTCATAATCTCAGAAGGGAACACTCGTGTATTTTATTTTCTTCAATGCTGTTGCTGTTGAGTTAATTGGGATAATCAGATGGACTTCTGCAGTCATTAAAAACCAGTCACAACTGCAGCGCGTGATAGTGACAACCTTCCTGCAATATCTTCTTGTTAAATCTGACTCCTATCCTGCAGATACTGCTGGGCTCCAACAGACAGTAATTACAGTGGATGCAACACACATTTTTGAAATTCACAGTACACTTATTTTCTACCCTAAAGAAGAGTTTATTAATTGTAACACGTATCTGAGGTTTGTCTTTATCAGCATCAGAGTCCCGTGTGAAAACTCTCAAGGTATCAGCTGGGGAAAAAGTATGTACCATCTTTAATATTTAAAGCCTCTGAAAATTAAATTCTGTAAGATACAGGGGGAAAGCTGAAACAATAGGAAGGCCCATGAAGGGTTCAGACAACTGAAATAGGAGAGGTCCGGTTTAGGAATAGCCGCAGTGCATGTGTGAAGTGCACACATCCCTTCCTGGCTCTAAGTGCTGTTGCTTTCTCGCTTCCCCGAGCAAAAAAAAACACCCCCCAAAACAACAGCAATTATAACAATAAGCAATGTAGTAATTCTGAAGTGTAACAGAATAGATGGCTTTCAGTTTTTCAAACAAATATGTCACATCATGTTGTAGTAAAAAAAAAAAAATCTAGTAGTTAGCTGCACAGGAGAATTACATGATGCTTTTGCTGGGTGAAGGGTGGGCTGGAGGAGGCTGAAGCCACGGCAAGGGGGTCTGGAGCCCCGAGCCACCAGTAAACACTCAGCGCCGGTGCCCAGCACGACACCCAGGAGCTGCCACTGTCACATAGTGTAGCTTCCCGAGGCGGCTGCCGTGCCTTCTCTCCTCAAATCCCAGATAACACTTCACACTTGTCACCTACGTTTCCCTTTCCCACTGAAGTGTGGGAACACTTGTTCCCGTGTGCTCATCCTCAGTCCTGCACAGCTGCCAAAAGCCATCCTTGAACATACTCGCTTTCATCTTGTAGCTTAAAATTTTGCCTGCAGCCATACCACTGCCTGCAGCTGCAGCACCAAAGGCTGAGAGCTGCTGCGAGCTCTTGGGCTCAGAAGGGTGAGGTGCAGCCCGTGCTTTGACAAAGACTGCTGGGAAGCGAAACAGAACATGACAGCCTGTTGTGGAGGCCAGTGGATTTTTCCTGAGCTTCTTTTAAGTCTTCCTGTTGCTGGGTTTATCATGGCCTTGCATTTGTTACTGCTGCCCACGCAGCGTTTGACACACGAGGTTTGCTCACTCTCTCCCCACAGCCCACAGGAGTTACCACCACCAGCACCAGCTCTTTCTCTGGCATTCTGCTCTGTGTGCAGGCTGGACAAGGAGGATGAGGAGGATGGGGTGTCTCTCCCCACCAGAGTGACGTTTTCAGGGGAGATGTACACCCAACGCTATGTCCTGCCCAAGTCACCGGCAGCCACTCTCCTGCCACAGCCGTGGACTGCCAGAAAAAACAGAAAAAAAGTTTCCTTGCTACTAAGGGACAGTCTTACCTGCAAACACAGGAACCCTGACAAGTCCCAGAACTAGTCTACAGGATAAAAACAAATATAAAGGTAGAAAAAGACAAGAACAAAAATCAGTAGCAGAATAACAGAAGAGTACCTAAAGAGGAAGAGCTACCCTTATCAGCTGGAGACAGGAGAAGATGAATGTGGGAAAAAAGGTAGCTTTCATGTGCCTGAGCTAGCAAAGGGCACGGGTCTTACATCAGGCTCCTCCGAGACAGAATCACAGGAAAAGCAACTGCAAAACATTGGCATCAAACCCCAAATGGTTACTCATGAAACTAGAAGACATGGGGGTTCAGAAACAGTGAATGGGGAAGGCGAATGGTCGCCACTCAGGATCTTCTGGGAAATCAAACCTGGGTGAGAGAAGATGAAAACAAAAGGAAAAGTGAAATGAAAATACGGGCACATGACTTGTTGACTACAAACTTTAATTTGCATCCAAGATTAAAATCCAGCCAGATGGGCTGTCCCATGGTGAATGGCTGGAACAGAAAATCAGTCGCTTGTGCAGGGAGTTGCTGAATGAAATCCTGAGAAAATTGGCAGTGGCTTTGAAAACACAACCAAGGAAAGTCGAAAGAAAAATCAAGTGTATATCTTGTGTCATCACCAATAAGCACACTCGTGAAAAGAGAGAGGTGTGCCCCAAATCACTGCCCTGTGTGCGGCGACAAGCAGCAGTGCCTGGGAGCAGGAGCACAGGGCAGCAGTATTACAACAACTAGTGTCGGATGCCAGAGAAGTGTCCGAAGTCTGCAGCATCTCCCAGGGATGTTTATCATCCTTCCCATAGTATTTCTGACATAAGAAGGATGAAGGGTCTGAGGGCAGAAGTTCTAAAGGACAAAAGCACCTTACCTCTGTCCTCACCCCCCGAGGATGTAAGAAGTCTCTCTTCTCCCATTTTCAATCCCGAATTGCAGAATTTGTTTCCCACAGAGGGAAACAAAGGTGATGTGATGGAAGTCACAGGATTACATGTGCAGGGACATTTGAAAAAGGAAAAATGCCAATTCATCTTCAAGCCTCACTAATGAAAAAGAAGTAGCAAATAACTAAGAAGAAAAAATCCTAGTACTAAATAGGGTAGAGAGTGAGGACTGGATTTTGAAAATACAACACAATCCAGGAATGCAAAATCAGGAGCAAAAACGTAACTATAGTAGAAAAGTCAAGGGTTTGGGAAGCCCGTGAAAACATTCACCAGAAGACCCTCCTGCTCCAAGTCCTGCAACTCAGCTGCTGTGGCCCAGATTTCTGCAAAGAACAGCACGATATCACAAATGAACACTGTTCCCTGCTAGAGTAGCCATGTTTACCCCTGAGTATTCTGCTTAACTGACAGTTAACTAGAAGCAAAAAGATGTAATTGATGCTGCAGACAACTTGCACAGGGCTGACAATGCTGGAGAAGAGGGAACAAAGCTAGGGAAAAGAGGAAATACAATGCCACTTAACGAAAATGTAGTTGAAAAATATTGTTTTTCAGACATGCAAATAATCTCAGATATTATGCTACAAATTTTGGATAATGGGAAGAGTAAAACATACCAACACTACAAAAAAGTGCTAAGTTACAGCTAGTAAAGCCAGTATCTTTAGTCCTACAGAAAATGGAAATAGACTATGGAACAGTGATATCAGTTTTCAGATCAACAGCGCGTTCAGAAGACATGCAGGATTTGCAAGATTTTAAAAACAATCAACCTTATCAAGACAGCAATGAACCTGAAGAAGCTGAAATGTCATTGGAAGAACATGAAGAGTCTCTGTTACCAGAATTAGGAGACGACAGTTTTGAGGCAGAAAATGAGGTGCCTTTAATTTCTTCAGAATAAATGAAGCTGAAAGCTCTACTACAAAAGCTATATTGTACCCACCATCTGCAGAATATGCTAATGCATCTCTGGAGGCAAAAAACGCAAGCAAAAAACCCATCATGACAGTGCTCTTTTTCTTTCTTCAAACCAACAGGCCAACCACCCCAGCTTTCCGGAAAGTTATTAGCATCATTGTGGTAAGAAATTTCAACAAATCCAAAACCATAAAATAGCTTTTGATGGAAGAACCGGGAAAAATTAAAGGTAGTTCAGCTCAAGTAATTTTACTCAATTAACTGAATAGTGGTTTTGGTAATGAGAGGAGTCAGGAACCACGTCTGGTGTGTCAGAGCCAAATGGAACAACACAGAATGTAAGTGAGAGGAAGATAAACGAAGACAAGTTCACTGGCCAAAGCAGCCAGTGGAGTTTGTGACCTGGAACATATTGTATTAATTTATTTTGCTGTAAAAGTTTACATTTACAGTTCTCAAAACCAAGTCTGCTCTCTATAATGTAGAAGTTGCAGTGCTTAAAACATTTTTGTGCTTGCCTATTTCTGTCTGCTTGATGGAAAGTACAAAATCCTTTCTTTTGCATCTCAGCCTGTTAAATTCTATCTTGAATTCACATCACTCGCTACGGTTTCTGGTCTTCTTTTCCTCATAAAGCACAGGTTCCTGCCAAGTTGCTGGTGGCAGGGGCTGACATTGGCTTTCTCCGGGACAGTGAAGACACCCCGGGAGATCCTGGGGGACAACCCCACCACCAGTCACTGCAAACCCTTACCTGGAGCTGCTGCTCAGAAACAAGATTTTAACACAGAAGGACTTCTCAGCAGTTCCAAAATATTCTTAACTCTTTATTTCCTTAACTTCCAAACTAGTGGGACTAAAAATCTGTTGCTAAAATATCACCTTATGAGGACTAGTCCCTTTGGCCAGGCAGCATGTCCTCATTGGCCTACTCTGCATCTGAGAGAAGAAAACCAGATTGCTTTAAAAGCAAGAAACACATTGATAGGTAAATACATATTAAATGTTTTTTTCATGGAATGCAAATACACAAGATAAGCTTCCACAATATAAACTCTGCATGCTGAAGAAAAAAAAACCGAAACAACATGCCACAAAACAGTGAGGAGCTTTGGGTGTTGCGAATGGAGAGTAGCTGCCATGAAGAAGAAGGAGGCCCCAGACTGATCCCTGTTTCTCTCGGAACAGGATTTCTCCTAACTTCTGACTGCGTGTGCTGTCCCCCGAGCAGGGAGAGCGGCGCTGAGCCAGGGCTGCCAGGAAGGGGACTCCTGGCTGTCCTCAGGTCGCGGCATCTGCTGCACCCCCTGCCCGTACCCTGTCGTGGTCCCAGGGAACAGCCTCAGGACGTGGTACAAAAGCCGTCAGAGGTTTGTGCGCCTCCAGGATAACTTGGCTCCTTGTTGTGATGCTATGGAGGTTATTTTTCATATAGAAAAGAAAAAAGAATCTAGAAAATACCTACAAAAGTCTGAGAGCAGCAAATATTTTTCTGCTCACTCATTAATAACTGAAGTCATAAAGTTACATAATTACTTAGAGTTTCACTGGATGGCTGAATGCATTAGCGTTTCCTCCCCAGCTCACCAGCCCTTGTGTACCTCCCGGCAGGCACCGCTGCCCAGCTTGGGGCTCTCTGCAACAGCACCTGCCTCAGGACTCGGGGACTTTGGGGAAGTGTCACCAAGTCGGGTGTGGCAGGTGCATTCCCCTGGTCTGGGATGCCTCCCCTCACTGCGGTTGCCAGGCAGGTTTCAGAGAAAATGCTAGAAGTTTCTGGCTAGTTTGGGTCTAGCCCATCAGCCTGGGTGTGCACCCAAGAAGTTAGCTGGTGGCCACTGGGAGGCCGAGATGACTTTGATCAACCACAGCTCAGATTCGACCGAGATTTAAAGCGGGGTCCTGCTGGGGCCGTGTGGGTCAGTCCCTGGGGAGCAGCAGGTCCTGTCATCGGGGCACGGCCTCCCCCTCGGGCTGGGGTGCCGGCCAGGGGAACCCCTCGAGACTGAGAGTCCTCATCTTTGTATGGGTGAGCGTACATACGATCCGGATCATCATTCTAAGTTTAAGAGCTGGGCACAGTGTAGTAACTGCTCTTCTCAGCCGGTACCAGAACTTGCAAATTTGTGGGACCTTTCATTTCTTAATCAATTCAGTTTAATTACTCTTGTGGATTGAGTGAGAACAGGAGCACTCCTCACGCGGGGCCGGAGCAGAACTCCTAGGTTTTGTGCACGGGGGCACTCACCTCGGGACAGGCGTTCCAGCCCCTCATCAGCAGCACGGAGATGGGCTTGGGGATGGAGTAGCCGATGGGCGGGCGGATGTGGTGGTACGCCATGTCTGCTGCCGCCGCTGCTGCAAGAGAACCCCCCACAGGCACCCCTAAGCCCCGG